TCCACAGGGAGTTAATATTGATTGGGAGTTGGGTTTCTATCTAATCTAGCTATGTGTGTTGCTTTTAATTACACTTGTAACCATGCTTGGATTTGTTTCTAATCTACGTTTAATGCTATTGATTGCTGAAAGTAATCTAAGTACAATGTTTTTGTAGGAGTTTTCTCAAGTGATAAAAAGCACTAGGGAAGTGACTTACACCTAGGAGAGTATCTAATGGGATCTAGAGTTTAGGACAAGCTTGTTATGATTGGGGTCGTGATATAACCATCACACATAAGTGCTCACTCTATACCTCTCGGTAGTTTGAGTGACTTTGCCCGATTTGACTTTCTCAAGTCCAAATGGGTGTTCATGCATAACAAATGATGTTGGCTCAAGTTGGGTATTACTATCTCTAGATTTAACCCTTTAATTGGGGCTATCAATCTCTTGAATGCACCCCAATTCCTTGTTAGCCTAATTTTTCTAGACTTAGTCTCTCTTTCTCAAGAAGAGTCTAAGTCATCAAGGCACGAATCAGTGTTTGCAACCACCAATTCTATAATTAAAGCATGAATTAAGCTAAATATCACTAGCCCATAAACAAATAAGCCCTAAAATTGAAGACCCATTAAATACCCACACTAGGGTTGGGTCACAACCCTAGCTAATGGGTTTAGCTACTCATAATCAAGGTAGAAATCAAAGATAGAGATGAAATATAAGCCATAAAAGTTGATTACAAGAACAAAATCTAAGAATATAAGCTAAAGCTACTTTAAAATTACTCTAAATGGTAAAGTACGGCTGTTCACGAGCTCACTGATACAAAAGATAACCTAAAAACATAAAAAAGATCTATATACACAGTTGAAATTACTGGACAAAAATACCCCTACGGAGGTTCCGCTGTGGGCGAAATATTGAGCACCTCAATGCATGGACTTTCGCGGCCGCGCAAAAACAAGCGCGGACCGCGTTTCTTCAATTTTGTGCTTGGTTTGGCCTTGGTTACGTGGACCTCGTAAAAGACACTGCCTCCGCGTTAGCATCAATCGCGGCCGCGTAATTTGGACGCGGACCGCACTCCTCAATCAAGCTCAACTTGCAGTCTCTGAACTTCGATCAACGCTCTCAGCGGAAATACCACCGCGGCCGCGTCACGTATTCCACGGCCGCGGTTTTTCATCGCAGTCAGCAGTCATTGTTGTCTCCAAAACATCTTCTCTGAATTTCACTTCCGCGAACCGCGTAATTATAGCCGCTTCAGTGGTGGACCTTATACGGCCGCGCTTTTCCATCGTGGTCAGCGCTTCAGTCCCAGCTTTGAACTTATGAAAGTTTAACTCCTTCATGAGTTGATTATGGCTTTCTTGCCTTATTTTGACCAAACCCTGCAGACAAGCACATTAAGTCAGTTTTCGGGAATACTTTTACACATTTTTGATCCATAACCTAAGCAAAAGAGAGTATAAGATAGGCTATAATCCATAGTTATCAGTATATCCGGAACGCTTTTATGTGAAAAATTGAGGAAATAATAATTTTTGGCCTAAAAAGTTGATTTTTGTTGACTTCGGTCAACGTTTTGGGTAAACGGACTCGGACCCGTATTCTGACGGTCCCGATGGATCCGTAATAAAATATGGGACCTGGGCGTATGCCCGGAATCTAATTCCGAGGTCCCTAGCCCGAGAAATGAATTTTTGATGAAAATTGTTAAAGTGGAATTATAAAGGTTTTAAGAATTTTGTTAATAATTAATCTTGTTGATACCGGGCCCGTATTGTGGTTCCGGAGCCCGGTACAGTTCCGTTATGATTTTTATACCTTATTTGTGAAATTTGGTGAGAAACGGAACTGATTTGACGTGATTCGGACCTTTGGTTGAGAAAATAGAAGTTTTGAACTTTCTTGAAAATTTCATGCAATTTGGTTCTAAATTTGAAGTTTTAGGTGTTATTTTTGCGATTTGATCGTGCGAGCAAGTTTGTATGATGTTTTAAGACTTGTGTGCATGTTTGGTTTGGAGCCCCGAGGGCTTGGGTGAGTTACGGATAGGCTACGGGATGTTTCAGACTTAGGAAAATCTGTTATTTTGCTGCAGCAGTTGTTCTGATATGCCCTTCTTCACGTTCGCGTAGGTAGTATCGTGAATGCCAAAGGTAAAAAGGGACATGGGGAATTTCTTCTTCGTGAACGTGAAGGACAGGTCGCGAACGCGGAGCAGCGAGGGCTTTACCCTTCGCGAACGCGACCTATCTACCGCGAACGCGAAGCATGGGACCTGGGGGAGGGGAAGATAACTCATCGCGAACGCGACACTTGGATCGCGAACGCAGAGGCTGGGAGGATATGCCTTCGCGAACGCGATGGGTTACTCGCGAATGTGTAGGCCAATAGGGCCAAAGCTTCACGAACGCGATAGGGAAAGAGACATGGGAGGGGGAGTTGGCTGTAATTGAGACACGTTTTTCGGATGGACGATATGGATTGCAGGCTTCTCGCGAATGCGAAGAAGACCTATCCAGTGTTTTAAAAATAGAATCAAAAATTGGATTAGGCCATTCATTCATATTTTCAAAAACTAGAAGATTTAGAGGCGATTTTCAAGAGACAATTTCTTCCCCAAAGTGTTGGTAAATGATTCTAAACTACTTTCGTCCAATTACCCATTGCATTTCATCAATTTTCAACCTAAAATCTAGGGTTTTCATGGTGGAAATTGAGGGTTTGGGTAGAATTAGGGATTTTTGTATAATTGGAATTTAGACCTTGATTTGGGGCTGGATTCCGAAACTAATTATATATTTGGGCTCGGGTGTGAATGGGTAAATGGGTTTTGGTCCGAACCTCGAGTTTTGACCAAGCAGGCCCGGGGTCAGTTTTTGACTTTTTGGGGAAAATGTTGGAAAACTTATAATTATGCATTGGAATTGATTTCTTTAACAATAATTGATGTTATTAAGTTAATTATGACTAGATACGAGTGGATTGGAGGTGGAATCTAGAGGAAAAGCGATGATTGAGCTTTGAGTTTGGTCGCGGTAGCGAGGTAAGTGTTGTGGCTAACTTTAGCTTGAGGGATTAGTTATTGTTGTCTATTTGCTATGTGTTTGGTTGTTGAGTACAACATATAGGTGAGGTGACGAGTACCTACACGTTGTTGTCGGATCATAGCATGCGAGTGGGTCTTATTTTTGTGATTGTTGTATTCTTTATTCGTATGTGTTCATGCTTAAACTAGTTATTCTTCATGTTGAGCAACTCTTATCATGTTTTGTTGGAATTTGATATTGGTTGAGTATTGACTCAAAGTTGAGGTTGACGTTATGAAACTAAATATTGAAATGGGGCTTGTTATTAATAATTCTATTGCCCGGTTGTTATTGTTTTGTTGTTTGGGTGAGGAAGAGTGTAAAGCAAGAAGGGTGATGCCGTGCCATTGCATATTTATTATCATGTGAGGAAGAGTTTAAAGCACGAAGGGTGATGCTGTGCCATTTCGTATTCATTATTATGTGAGGAAGAGAGTAATGCACGAAGGGTGATGTCGTGCCATTTTATATTCATTATCATTGTTCCTTTCATTTGTTATGGTGAGGAAGAGAGTAAAAGCACGAAGGGTGATGTCGTGCACTTGTTTTGTTGTGTTTCTTTACTGTTCTATCCTCGTGATCCCGTATTCCCCCAGCATCTTTTACCCCCTCCCGTTATTATGTGTTCAATTTCCATTATCTGTTATTATGCCCGTATATTTCTTAACTGCACAGGTTTATATATGTGTCATGTCCTAGCCTCGTCACTACTTCGCCGAGGTTAGGCTCGGCACTTACCAGTACATGGGGTTGGTTGTACTAATACTGCACTCTGCACCTTCTGTGCAAATTTCGGTATCGGACCGTGCTGACCCGAGTGAGCTGCTGCCTTCAGTCCAACATGAGACCCAAGGTAGATATGCCGGCGTTCGCAGACCCTGGAGTCCCCTTCCAGTTATCCTAGTTTTTCTATTTTCTTTTAATTCGAGAACAATTGTATTTTCTTTCAGCCAGTATTTGTAATGACTCTTAGAAGTTCGTGGATTGTGACACCAGATTTTGAGTAGTCGTGTATTAGTTCTTGGATTATTATGAATTTCTGCACTTCTTTACTCTGTTTTGTTTTAATTATTGTTATTTACTGATTTGGATAGTGGTTAGCGTATTAAATGTTTATCTGTTGGCTTGCCTAGCATTCAGAAAAGTTTAGGCACCATCACAATCCTGACGGTGGAAAATTCGGGTCGTGACAATTCAATAGTTACGAATCGTCACACGAAGTGACAACTTAAAAATGAGAAAATCGACGATTAAAGAAAGTACAAGAGTAATGGAGTAAGATAAAATGGAAATTAATATAATTTGAATTTTCTGCACTTTTTGTGTTGTTTTTATTATTTTTGCTTAGACTGTATTTTCGTGTATAAAGATTTGGAGTTCGGGTAGATCACATGAATGGACTAAACTAAATAGAACATGTGTATTTTTTTTCTTACCCCAGTTTGGATGATTGTTTCCCGCGGTTAATTACTGTATTATTTTTATTATCATTGTTCTTAAAATTATATTATATGTTGTTGTAAACCCGTTAAAATTCTGTTGTTATATAACCATGAAAAAATTCAATTTTTATTACCATGGATCTGGTGATTTTTGCGTGGTTACTAGTAAAAACATTATTAAACCACAACAAACAATACAGTCAATTAAAAAAATTGTAATCATTAATACATATAATACGATATTGTAGATTATACAAAAAACAAAATACTACTCGCCATCAATTCCCATTCTCTTTTAATCTATTAAACAGAAAACAAAATACTACTCGCTACAGAAAAATTAAAATAAAACACAAAAGATAGGGGAAAACCCTATACTCGTACTATAGCAAAATTATAAGACGAAGTTTGTGACTTTCGAAATACACGCAGTCTTCTCTCCTCCCCATAGCAAAAGTGAAACTCTCAAATTTGTGCAATGGAATCTGAAGCCTCCCATCAACACCCAAAGCACAACAAACTCACAAACCATGACTCAATCTTGACAATCCCAGTTCTACCAGCAGAACTCGTTATTGAAATCCTCTCAAGGCTTCCTGTGAAGTCCCTCTTGCAATTCACGTGTGTATCGAAATCTTGGCTTGCATTGATCTCTAGCCCTGAATTTATCAAAACCCATCTCAGTTTATCTGCTAATAACAAGGACTACACCCACCATAAAGTTATGATGAGTTCCTACTCTCGTCTTATGTCCAATGTTAAAGCATGTAGTCTTAGGTCTTTATTTTATGATTCTATTACCGAGGCTTTTGACTTGGATTGTCCCTTGATATCATATGCAAGATACATGTGCGATCATGTTTCTTTTATAGGATCTGTCAATGGATTGATTTGTCTTCTCATTCAAGTAAATGAATATTTTATATGGAATCCATCAATAAGAAAGTACAAGAAATTGCCTAACACTAGAGTTCCTATGCGGGTTACTTATCGAAGTGTATCTGGTTTTGGATATGATGAGCTCCATGATGATTACAAGGTAGTAGTTAGTTTTTATTCAAATTCAACGAATCCAGATTGCGAGGTCATGATATATAGTCTAAAGAGTGATTCTTGGAGAACTAGGGATAATGATGGTCGAGAGCTAGCAAATGGTCGAGGGATGTTTGTGAATGGGAAACTTCATTGGACTACTACTAGCGATGATTATTGTTTTAATCATAACAGCAAGAACATCATTTCTTTTGATTTGGCTGATGAGAAATGGGGAACGGTGGAGGAGCCTTGCTATGGAGAAGTAACCCATTTTTTGAAGGTGGGAGTGTTGAACACTGATATAAGAGAGGTCATATAGATGTTTGGGTTATGACGAAGTATGGGGTTAAAGAATCTTGGATGAAGATATTGGCCATCAAGTATCATGATTTGAATCCGCCTTTTTTCATGTCAAATAAAGGTGAGATTTTGGTAATGCTTAGATCAACTTTCAGGATATACATGAAGGATGACACATTCAAAGATCCTGTGTTTATTAATTTCGATCGCCATTGTGAGGCGGAAATATACATTGAAAGCCTAGTTTGTCCTTTTTCTACGAGAGGGGACCGAGGATGCAACAAAATAAAGGTGGAAAAAGCTTAGATCAATACAATCGAGTAACAAATAAACTTGTAAGAGTACTTTCTTCTCAAATTCTTTTAAATTCTGTTTGTTATTTTAAATATAGAAAAGATGCATAACAAAAGGATATCTTAATAGGAGATCTTGTTAGTCAATTTTCCTTTATGCAGTATTTCAAGAAACACTAATTTTATGTTCAACTTCAAACTAAATGGCTCTAAATTTTTTTTGTATTTTTGAGTAGTGTTTTAAGGGAATGTTATGCCTCTAGGTAGAGAAAAATAAGGAACACAGTAACATGGAACTTGTGGAAGCTAAATGGGGCAATAACGTTGGGGTGGGGTTGGGGGGAGGGGGCTTTTTTGATTTATCATTTTTTGGTTGAAAATTTTGATAGGATCAGAAAGAAAACTAGGTAATTTTGATTTATTTTCAGCCAAATACATAAACGAGCCGTCAAACTTAGCCTCAGCGGGCAAATAAACACTCCAACTTTGGAAGTACATGTATAGACACTTTAACTTGATACAAGTGTATCTTGTCGGCACTCGGATCTGACCTGGCACTACGCGTGTGTTGTCTTCACATTTGAGCGCGTGAGATGTTATTCCAAAGCCATTTCCAGTTGAAAAAGTTAGAGATATTCTATTTTTACCCTTATAATCTACTTAGCGGCTTTGATCATGACTCATGAGGGTGGGGTGGGGTACCAAAAACAAGAATATAAGAGAGAGATTTTGGGATGAAATTCGTATAAGAATTCTTACGCATTCTGATCTATCTTGAAAGTATTAGACTCATCGGTTGAGTATATCAAGTGAGACTAAAAACCCCTTTTTAATGTAGTTCAAGTGCAACTCTAAATGATAAGGTAAGAATGAAATACTATCATTTTGAATGGGCAACTTCAGTAGGGTATCAAAATCATTTCTTATGATTTGACAGATGAGAAATGGGGAAAGGTAGAGCATATCCTTGCTATGGAAAATGATTTTTGCAGGTGGGAGTGTTGGGAAGTGATTTTTCTATCTTTAGTGATTGTAAGGAAACTCATTTACATGTTTGGATTATGAAAGAGTATGGGGTTAAAGAATCTTGGACAAAAATGTTAACCATTAAGGGGTTGTTTGGTTGCCGGTTAGAGTTATGCAGGTATTAGTTATACATCTATTAGTTATGCAGGGATTAGTTATGCAGGGATAAGTAATGCAGGGATTAGTTATGCAGGTATTAGTTATGCAGAGATTATTTTTTTGAATGTTTGGTTTGTTGTATTAGAAATTGATATACATTATATAAATTTTAAAGTAAAATGCTTGTTTACAACTATACCCCTGGCCTTCTTTTGCATTGTTTTTTCTCTCTTTCCATTTATGTAGGAAACAATTTAGTTAGGAACTTTGATGTTACTTTCACTTCTTCGTCATACTACTGAACTATGTGAAGTTTAGACATATTTGATTTTCACTTCTTAGTTTTGGTATTTTCATTTTCTAGTGGCTTCTCCAGTTTGCTTTTGCTAGTTTGTTCTTTAAAAATGAGAGAAGACAAAGTATATAGTTGGCAAGTGAAAGCAAGTGAAACCTGTTGACGGGTTGGCAGAGAAATAAGGAAGCCTTATGTGTAAAGTGATAGGGGTAAATTTGTCATTTCAGTATTATATCCATGTATTACTAATACATGTATTAGTTATTCCATCTTCTACCCCGCATAAAATAATACACAGATTGACTCATAACTTATACATGTATTATTTATGCATAATTGAAAAATGTCAACCAAACATGGTATTAGATATACAGAATTTTATACAAAATAACTATTGCCTACCAAACATGGTATAAGTTATGTTACCCCTTATACATGAATAACTTTTCTTCTAACCAGCTACCAAACGACCTCCAAGTATTTTGATAATCCTGAAGAATACGATTTTCCTTTTTTACCACCCTTATTCATGTCAAATAAAGGTAAAATTTTAGTTGCATTTGGACAACCTTTCATGATATACAATCCAAATGATGACCTCGTTCAGATGTTCAAACGTTGTTAGGCCTCATTTGTTTGCATTTAATGGAGGTTTGAATCTTAATTATTCAGATCTCAGATATTAAGTGCGTTTGTTTTTAAAGTCTGAATCTTAGTTATTCTGATCTTAATCACTAAATGTGTTTTTTTTTTTTTACTTCATAACCACTTAATGGATCTGAATAGGTCTATATTATTAAGATCTATAACAGAGACTTAATTTCATTAAGATGCTATCACATATTCATTATTAATTGCCGCCACCGCCTACCATTATCAACTACCACCATGCCACCACCACCACCACCATACTAAACCGCCACCACCACCACCACCACCTCCTCCAACACCACCACGCCACCATCATCCTCAATCATAGCCGCCACCATTATCGACCATCACCACCCACTATCCCCACCACTCCGGCTATCATCATTCTCACCTACAATCAACACTCATCCACCTCAACTACCACAACTGACTACCCCATCACCATCAACAACCACAGCCAGCACTGCCCATTATTATAACCTACCACCACCCACCCACCACCTTCCTCAGACACAACTACTACCACCACCCGCAATATTAACTATCACCATCATCCTCGATCATAATCGCCACCACTAACAATCACTACTAGATAATAGCATAAACCACCATCATCAACCAAAACTACCACCAACCACCATCTCTAGTCGGCATTCACCCGTTAGCTATCACCCCCAACAACTATCATATTTTAAAAACTATATATTTTATTGATAGCACATTAGATTAGTTAGTACTCTCTCCGTTTCATATTAAATGAGGTACTTTTCTTTTTGGTCTGTTCCAAAATAAATGACACATTTCTAAATTTGAAAATTATTCAACTTTAAAATCTTCATTTTACCCTTTTGCCGCCACACAAATGGCATGGCCCCACAAACCTTTTACCCCTTAAGTTTTTAAGACCACAACTTTCAAAAGTCTTCTTCTTTTGTTAAACTCCGTGCCGAGTCAAACTACCTCAAATAATATGAAACAGAGGGAGTATTTCATTGAATTTAATGTTTATTAATTTTCAAATAAACATAAATTTTATATATTCAGATGTTAAAATCAAAAAGTCTTAATTATTTAGTATTCAGATCTTAATATACATCTTAATATATTCAGATTCAGATATCTTAATTGTGAGCATGTGATTTTTGCCCTATATGAATTATTCCCAAAAATTCCAAACAAAATGATTTCTTTCATTATTTTACAATTTTGTGAATTTTGTGTTAGTTTCTGTTGATTGTTTGCATTTTATTTGTGAATTTTAATTCATATAAAAAAATAAATACTTGGCATTTGCGTTTAGGATCTAATTTCATATTTTATGATTAGTTAGTGGTTAAGTTATTTTTAGAACAAAATATGAAGAAAATAACAAAAATAGTCCATTTTTGCATTTTTAATTGTTAATTGTGAATTTTTCACGTAAATAGTTTT